GGAGGAGAATGGAGCTTATCATAAGATGGTAATGCACACGGAAAAAAATAGTCTCCTTCTTCTCTGTTATCTACTTTGGCAATGATGTGCAGGTGCATTAGAATCTTGATCATGTGAGACGATTTGAAATTAATATGCTTAAATATTTCTTCATCAAAATGTCGTAAAAGACGTTCATTAAAGAGGCCCGATATTTTCAAATTTTCTGCTTCTGTATAGTTGGTGTATGTGATAGCTATCAGACGTGAAAGGACATCAAGAATTGGTTTAGGATCAACAAATATTATATTTGGTAGGATAGCAGGATAATAAAGAATGATCGTGACGTTGTGTAAATATCGCAAAGCATCATTGATACTTGATTCTGTATCGAGTCGGAGAGATTTACCAATTTCCTTTACTTCTTCTATTGTAAGGAAACTTCGGTTTTTCTGCTTAGCTTCCCTTTGTAGTGAAATCTCAAAAGCAAACAGACGAATTGGTATATGAATTGTCACGGAAGCTTCAAAACTTGAAATTTTTGTACAAAGAGCTACACTAGCTTCTTCTCTTTCTGATCCTTTGAGCATTGTGTTAACTGGGTATATAATATTGCCTTGATTCTGAGGATCCTTAATGACTTTTTTATTAGCTTTATATTCTTCAAGCAGCTTTTTATTCATTTCATTGAGCTCATCATCTAGTGTGCCATTCTCTTCCAATTTATCTTTACGTGTACCAAGTACGAAATAGCGAGGGTGGATATCTTTATCTTTGTCAGACTCAGAAATATAAGGAATTTGAATGGGATTAAACATAGCTCCGGAGCTAACTGCTGATTGGATTATATCACGATTAGAAAACCTCTGATTTATAGGATGCTCAAATTGATCAAAACGATATTGAAATTCAAACTCCTTATCAAGACCTTTGGTAAGATCAATGGTGATGATATTCAGTGCAGCTGCTCTTGTAAAAAGAGGTAGCAACTCTCGATATGCTGGTTGACCGCCAGAATCAATAAAATACACCCAATTTGTGCTTAATTGTTTAAACTTTCCTGCTTCAAGAGCACTTACTATTTCTTTTATTACTTCCATATCAGTTGGTTTCTTCTCAAGTGGTTTCTTCTCAGGCGGTCCTTTCTCAGACAGTTCTGCTTTTGGTAAAGAATCATCTAAAGGAACAGGTACAGGATTTGTAGGTATTGGTGCTTCTCTTAATATTCTTATATGCTCTGTTTCATTTGGTGCTTCATTTAAACGAGATGCAAGCTGGTTAAGTAAATCTTCTTGTTTAACCCTCTCCCACTTATTTTTACCATCAATAGATATTCTTGTTGCTTTAACAGCAGGACAAGCTATTGGTGTACTATCAGTGAGTTCATCAGGAGGTGCAGGCGGTGGCTCATTAAGTAGAAGGCACTGTGTGCATGTTTTACCAGCTCCAGGTGCACCATGCATATTGATACGAGTAATTTCTAGCTCAACTTCACCTTCTTTCAGCCATTTTTCTATTTTACCTAAATAAAGTAACACCATCCATCAAACTATAATCATTAATGTGCATATAGTGTTCACACTAGGGCAATTAATGGGCATCAATCGATTAGCATTTCATCTGAGGTGGATTGATGTGAAGTGATGCCAGTGTTATCAATGTAAACCAATGGCAACAAGAACACAAAATGATACATAATCCAGCTGCTAGTGTGAACAAGATCAATGCTTGTTATCTTATTATGGCCTTATATGTTATACAGCTGTGTGTAATAATTACTATACTATACTATATCCCAGTTCAGTTTGGGACGGAAGTAGAAGCAGCTGCGTGGAATTTGAAAAAATGTAGCTTTTTGTGACGTATTATAATGATATTCATAGAGGAATGGCGGCTGTGTTGTTTCACTCTTAAAACAGTCTTGCTGTAC